TATATATATATATATATATATATATATATATATATATATATATATATATATATATATATATATATATGATATGGCCAATTAGTTCCGACAGTATATATTTTTTATGTTATTGTAACTTAGTTTAATAAGTTAATCATGTTCTAACCTAATTTTATAAGTTACACGAGCTAATTTAGGTCAGTTTAACATAATATAAGTTCTAATCACTCATAAGGTTAATTTGATTTAACTTAAAAGTTTGAGGCAGCCAGTGTCGGAGCTAGTACAGGCCCAAAAAGTCTTCCACATCTAAGCGAGGGAGACGTTATTTTTACTTATGTCCATATATTTAATTGTCCATGCATTTAACTTTCCATAAAAATATGCATCCCAGTTAAAACAGCAAGGACAAATCAAAACAGTCTTTCTCGTGAAAAATGGGTGCGATTTTTAAATGCGTGACCCGTAGGTTGATTTAACCGGAGTATTCATGTGCACGCACGTGTGTGTAACAGTATACCAGCCCGCTCGCAGTGTGTATGTAGGACACTGTTGCACAGCAGTTGACATTCCCAGCAGCCCACGGCGACCTGACGTGTTTATGGGAGAAGGACATCCGTGCACCGAGGCTTCTGGAGAACTGCTGACATCAGCTGGAAAAAAACACACAGGCGGAAATGTTGAAGTCGGCCTCATTTGCATAATAATAGTCCGCGGTGTGTTGAGACGCACCGAACAAACGTCTCGTCCGAGTCCAAATCAAAAGGACTTCATTGACATTTAATTCTCACGTACGACGATTCCAATGCGACCGATTCAGATCAGTACACAGGGCTCTGTTCTGGAGCAGGCTGTAAAGGACACGTGGAAGGTCAAAGGGAGGATCTGCGCTGTGTTTTAACCTTAAAGAGGATTCTTTGTTTGAGAGATGTTGCTTAAAGTGTTTCCGATTATTCGTGCATACATTTAGCTTGCATATTCTGTGTGTGCGTGTGTGTGTGTGTGTGTGTGTGTATGTTCATGCATAAAATAACAAATAAGCATGCAGTTGCAGGCAAAATTGTTAGCTAAAGGTCAATTAATTCATTAAATTTATTTTTGGCTTAGTCCCTTTATTAATCTGGGGTCGCCACAGTGGTATGAACCGCCAACTTTTTCAGCATGTTTTACACACACTCATTTACACTCATACACCACAGACAATTTAGTCTATCCAAATCACCTGTATCACGTCTTTGGACTTGTGGGGGAATCGGGAGCACCCGGAGGAAACCCATGCGAACACATGGAGAACATGCAAACTCCATACAGAAATGCCAACTGACCCAGCCGAGGCTCAAACCAGCGACCTTCTTGCTGTGAGGTGTTTAATAACTAATTACTAATAACTGATTTCCCTGATGATAGTAGATAATATTTTACTAGTCATTTTGCAAGAGAGTATTCACCTTAGAGTGCAGTTTGAAGGCTTAACTCGGTTAATTATGCTAATTAGGCAAGTCATTGGACAACAGTGGTTTGTTCTGTAGCCAATTGGACCTGTTGATCTGCATCCCAATCATCACAAATACTGCAGAAGACCTACTGGAACCCACATGGAGCCAGGATCCTCACAGAAATCAGTCAAGTTTGGTGAAGCAGAAATCATGGTTTGGGGGTCATTCAGTATGGGGGAGATCTGCAACATCAACAGCCTGAGGTGTCAAGACATTTGTGCTCCCCATTACATTACAAATCACAGGAGAGGGATAATTCTCCAGCAGGATTGCGCTCCTTCTCAGCAGAGAAGATCAAAGTGCTTTAGGATTGGCCAGCCCAGTCACCAGACATGAACATTATTGAGCATGTCTGGGGTAAGATGAAGGAGGAGGCGTTGAAGATGAACCCAAAGAATCTTGATGAACTCCTGCATGAAGGCTTTCTTCGCCATTCCAGATGACTTTATTAATCAGTGAT